GATGAACTTGCTAAATTTTTTCAGTACCCCCTGGTGCGAGCTGTCACAGCTATGTGAGATGTAGTGGTGGCTCCGTGTGCATCAACGGAGTTTGTTTATGCCCTAGACGTTCCAGCTTGAGAAATGATAGATGTGTTTACAAAAGGGAAGGTAAATATATTTTAACTGTAAGTTCAGTACCGCACAACTAAGCTAAGTAGCTACATAAATTATTGACAACTAGTAAATTACGAGTCGGTGTGCAACCCTAATGTAACTTGGTTTCGAAGCCCGAAAACAGTTTTTATCATAAAAATTACTGACCGTAAAAAAATTCGCTGCAAGCAGCGATCGCTCAAGGCACTGGTGCAGTGAAAATCACCGGTCTGACAATGCCGCAAGACGAACCGAGGTGTATCGCTGTAACTCAACTTATCAAAGCAGACGCAATTTTACTTGTTCACAAATTTGAGGTGAAATTGTGCAAGCGGTTTACGTTTTGACAGAGCAAAAACTCCCTTCTTCAAAAAGAAACTATCAGTTAGATGTTAAGAAGAGCCGCCCGACTATGAATATGTTGCTGATGTCAAAAGCTTTTGTCGGAGTCGCACTTTATACTACCACAGCATTTCGTACTTTTAACAGCTGGAACCCTGCCTCATGTTTCTTGACACCTCTGATTTTGTGTACAACTGCTCTTTCATTTCTTTATGATTGGTTCAAACACAAGTGAATTGTGTATTTCTTTGTGTATAAAGTGCATTAGAATCTAGTCGAGTCCTTGACCTCTCGGGGTCACTTTGATGGAACACTCCATTTTCAGCCTCCTTTCTTCAGGATTTATTTCTTCGAGTATTTAATAGTTAGATACCATGCAGTCGGTGTTCAGTTTATTCCCCATTTTCCTCCGGATAAATGAGCTTATTTTCGTGCTAAGCAAACACGAGACTATACGTTGCAGTAGTCATTAAAATATAGATATAGCCATAGAAGAAAAAGAACAATAACAAACTTCTGACTCATCACAAGGGAGTTGAGATTAGCGCCGCGCCATAAGCTTCATGAAAAGAAAAATGCCGCAGATGGCGCTAGGTCATGACAGTGTAAGGAAGACCAAAATTTAAACTTTAATAAATTTTATTACTTTTCCCTTTAGTCACCGATGATAAACCGTAACGCGTTTACGCAAGTTTGATGTACAAGTGAAAGCGTTAGCTGCCTTTACATTTTATACTTATATTTTTGCCGCATGCAGTGGGCAGCATTCGATATGCCAGTCATTTAACTCTGCGTTTAGTGATGTAAAGTATAGTTAACTTGCTAAAGTAGAGTATAGTGGCAGACATTTTCCCGTTTCCAAGTTCTGTGTTACTGTGTGTCTACACAAGTATAATTTTATGTTAAGCTATGTCGTCTGAACTTTTGGACAAAAGCTAAGAAGTCCATTGCTTAAAGAGTATAAAGATTGTCTTACTGTCTTGACGAATTAGTTAAGTGCTCGTTGTCTGTATCAGACAACGTAGTCACAGACGAGCTCTGGTTTTGGTTAACAAATATCACCTGTATAATGGATATCATGTTTAGTGCCTCCTTTCTCGTTGTGTACAGATGTGGACGTCTGTACTGGCGGATCGTTTTGCCAGGATTCGAGGTGCAAATGTCCAGAAGGCTATGCGGTGCAAAATTCGAAGTGCGTCAAGAAACAAGGTGGGCAAACTCGCAAATGAAACTAGGCTCAGTACCTCTTCGTTTCACTCCTTTCAGCAAAACCTGGTGACTCATGTACAGCACATGAGAGCTGTGTTGGAGGATCGACGTGCGTAAATGGGATATGTGCCTGTTCCCGCGGCTACAAAATAAGGGACGGAGTCTGCACTTCTGTAGTGATAGGTGCGTACATATATCATTCAGCTTCGTTAATTGCACTAATTCATCGCCACACCAGTCTGCAACGTGAGCATCGATCACAGTGAGTTTTTAACGTCAAAGCTGAAACTATCCAAAATATTTATTATTGCATTAAGCCAATGCTACGCTCAAACTGAACTTCAAAGTATATTTCTTAATTGGGTATTTCTGGTATAATATAATTTACAGGGTAACAGCACCACTTCTTTCGAAGTTCGTCTGCAATAAGACCAGGTTTGTTTATTCAGTACAGCTTCAAACACAGTACCGAGAAATTTGGGTTTCAGGCCAGATCAGATCATTCGCCTGTCTCCCTTCCGATGTTCATAAATGCGTACCACTCTGCGGGAAGGAAACTCGAGACTGTACATTATGCCTGGTACATGGTTATTGTAGATTGTGCCTCTAAAACATAAGGCCCTCCTCACCGATGGCATCGAAATGGAGATTAGCGCCTCAACATATAATTCATGAAATGAAGGGAGTCAGAAATAATGAAAGGAAAAGAAAACAACTGAATCATGAAAGTGTAAGGAAAACCGGAATTTCATTTCAACGTTTACAATCGTTCTTCTCATATATTTTCAATATGCGTCAAAGAAAACTAATTTGTCTGCCTTTTCAGCAGAATTGGAAGGAACAGTGTTGGAAAGCATGTGATATGGAATATTATACTTTAAGATCCAAGAAAAGCACCATAGCTTCAGGTCAGGTCAGGTCAAAGCACCTAAGCCAAATTTTCGCCTTACGTCAGATTTTTGAGAAATTATGGGAGGTCGCTTATCCTGTTTGCATGTACTTTGCCGACTTAGCGAAAGCCTGTGATGGGATCCTGCGCAACAAACTATAGGCATGCCTGCGAGCATATGGGATTGATGATCAGTTGCTATGGGCCATCCATTCACTACATGCTGATAGCAGGTTCTGGGTCAGAGTAAATGGCGTTAAGTCGAGACATTTGGCACTGGTGTCCACCAAGGCTGCATTCTGTCCGCTCTCCTATTTGTGTTGTATGTGGATAGAAGAGTCCGGTGCAGCCAGAGCAATGAGTGTATCAGCATAAGACACGTAGAGAAGACCTAATTTTTGGCTTTTTCTGATCTCCAGCGCTCTCTCAAAAGCATAATGCGATGTGGCTGGAATGCGTGTGAGTGTGTCTAAAACGAAAAGCCTAATGCTTTCTTGTTCACCTTCCGGTTTCGTTCATTCGATAAACGGGGGTGTAGTGACTAGTTGGAGAAGTTCGCGTACTTCTGGGTCATGTTTGCTAGTGATGGAGAATGGCAGGAAGAGATCGACCGACGAATTGAAATGGCCGGAGGCGTCCTCTTGAACCAGCCCAAACCGTTATGACTGAAGCAGAGCTGAATCTGAAGACTAAGCTCTCCCTGTTCAAATCACTTTTCATTCCGATGCTTAGTTGCGGCCATGAATGGTGGGCCTTGACTGAAAAGCATTAATCCCGGCTACAAGCGGCTGAAGTAGGCTTTCTGACACGAATCGCTGGGCCATGCGTCTCGACATAATTCAGAGTACAGATATCCACCGCTTCTGCAAAGTGAAATTTCACGGCTGTGATGGCACGTTTTACGAATGCTTCTGGAAGGGAAGGCCAAACAGCTGCTTCTTGCTCAACCGCCCGGTCAAGGACCACTGAGACGTCTGATAATAACTTGGGGCAAGTCTCTCAACGGACTCTGCTCCAGACTCAGGTTACCTTCTGCCGAATTTGAAACGCTGGTACAGGATCAGAAATGTTAGCGACACTGTCTGACATGTCTGCCTCCAAGACCGGAAAGGATAAGCGGTTAGGGAAATTACTGAAGCTTTTCACCAAAATAATGATTATAAGCGCGATACTGTTGCAGTGTGATTTACTGTAATAGAACGTGATTTAATTATTTTAGCAGATTAATACGTCGGTTTCATGCTTGATCATAATTAAATGCAAGCATTCTGAACTGAAATGAAGTAATATCTTCTTCATCTTCATCTTCCATCGCCGCTTCTCCTTTCGGGTCGCGGAGGCAGACGCGTCAGA